CCGTGGTCGCCGGGTCGCCCGGCCCCGCCGTGGAACGCCCGACTCCTCCGTCCCGCGGGGGACGGGGGGGGAGAGGGGAGCGGAGCGGACGCGGCGGGACGCGCCTGCTCCGTAGCGTCTTCACTGCTCCGGCCCCGGGGCGGTGCCTGCGCCGGCTCCGCCCCCAGATCCGCCCCCAGATCCGCCCCCCCGCCGCCGCCGCCGCCGGCTGCCGGCAGCCCGCCGGCCCGCACCTCGAGACGGCGCCGTGCGTCACAGACACGGCGCGATGGCCCCGAAACCGCCTGACCCAACTGTTCCCGCGCCGACCGCGGCGGGCCCTCGTACCTCTGTTCCGGGACCCCTGACGCGCGCGCCGCCGCCGCCGCCGATCTCCCCTTCCTGACCGCTTAGGCGCAGAGAACGCACGAGGTCGCCGCCGACACCGCCAGGAGAGGGGCCTGTGGGAGGGGCCGTCCCGGCCAGGCCCCGGCCCGCCCCGCCCAGGCCCCGGCCCGCCCGCCCCTCAGGACCCGCCTCCTCCCGCAGCTGCCACCTCACCAGCCCCGGATCATTCCCCCGCCCCACCCCGCCCATTCCCCCACCCGCCGACTCCTGGGCTCGCCTGGACGCTGGCCCTAGCTGGTTTCCTGAAACGCTCTTTGGGTTGGGATGGAGACACTAGCCGATAGGGGAGAGAACGCACCGCACTCCTCGCTGAGCCATACCCGGAGACTGCCTGCCCGCGAGATGGGCTGCGCCCTGCCCTGCTGGCCTCGACCGGGGTGCGTGAGCCTCAGGCCTGGGCCGAGAGTCTCCTCTCCCCACCCGGAGACTAGGGACTGACGCTGTCTTGCACAGCTGGACATGATCTGCCTTCCGGTGGGGCAATCACTAACCCCGAGCCATGGGCTCACACACTCAAAATCCACATTACACACATATCCACATACAGATGCGCAGACACGCAAGGTGTATAAAGAAACCGTGATTGCCCAGAGGTGTACCAACAGCCTTACAAAACCTTGTAGGTCAGTTTCTTCACTAAGAAAACCCAAAACATTTTAAACCTGGAATGAGGACCAATTGTTACTATCAGAGTTATTCCACAAGGTGATTATTTTTTGCATATTTTTCAAATCGGGGTGGGGGGCAAGGAAAAGAATTTTCAGTATTTAAATGAAAGAGAAAAAAAGAGCAACTGAGCACATTCCATATGTGCCTTTTAAAGTTGGTGCAAATTCCGGAGCAAGTCCGTGACACCTGATTTTGGCCTTCTGTTGCAGGAGCTCAATATCCTGGAAAGTATTTTTGGCAAAGGATGAAAAACTATTTATCAAAGAATGAAGCATTGCTTTACCTTTTTTTCTCGCTAAAAGAATAACGTGGCCATAAATCCAAAAATTACACAAAAACTTTTCAGGACGTTGGTTCATTTTATGTATTTGTTGATGTTGCTGCACTAGAAATTAGTATTAAAGCTTTTCTCAAAATAAAATTTGATGTGTACTAAAGAATTACATAGCCAGGAAAATGAGTAATATTTTTTATACTGTTCACATGAACAAAACCTTTTTATAGAAATAGGTTTCACTGGATGAATTCCCATTTGTTGCAAAAGTTTAAAGGAAAAGCCAAGCTTGTGGTGCACACCTTTCATCCCAGCGCTCTGGAAGGCTGAGGCAGAAGGATGGCAACTTCAAGCCAAGCCTGGACAATTTAGAGAAACACTATCTCAAAATAAAAAGGGCTGGGGGTGTGGCTCAATGGGAAAGCCATACACTGAATCCACAGCATCAGGAAAAAAAATTCTTTTGAAGGACTGAGAGTACAGCTCATGGTAGAATGACTGCCTAACATTGCAAGAGGCCCTGAGTTGAAAAGGGGGGGTGGGGTGGGGTTCAAACAAAAAAAATGGAAAGCTCAAGAAAACATTATCAAGGTCCCACTGTCCAGAAATACCCATTGTGAAGTCTTTGTTAAACATGCTTACAAAAATTCACTCCATACACAAACATGTTGAAGTGCAAGTATATATTCAGTCTGGGGTTTTTGGGGGGGTTTTTTTTGGTTCACAGGGATCAAACTCTGGACCTTGTGCTTTCGAGGCAGGCAGCAGAACCACTGAGCTAAATCCCCGGCTATATTCAGTCTTTTAATGTGTTTCTGAAGATGTCCAAAAATTTGTTAAATGCCATTGATATCTAAGACAAAAATAGTATCCAAAATTTGTAATAGTACACTCCGGAAATTAGGATTTATTATATTTGAGGGCTCATTTCTTCAGGCAAATGTTAAGAACTACTAAAGTACCATTGTCAAAACAAATGAGGGCCGGGGGCGTGGCTTAGCGGTAGAGCGCTTGCCTAGGCCACAGGGGGCGCTGGGTTCCATCCCCAGCACCACCTTACAACCGCGTCCCCATTGCATGAGTTAACATATATGAAAGTACTTTGTAAACTGAAATGTGGGCTAAAAGGCAAGACTTCAGTGTTTTCACACGACCACAGGGAATGCTGACTGGTTAGTTCTGCCTGTAATGGCCATTTTTCAAGGCATTCAGCAAATCTTGGTAGAATGTCTATCATCCATGCATAGCGGAGCTAATTGCTTTAGAGAAGGTAAATAATCAACCTTTGGCTGCCTTCCAAGCATTTACTGTCTGGTTGGGGAGGCAAAAAGAGATAAATATTTAAACCGAAATTGGAATTCCTTTAATTAATTCAACAAATATGTCTTGAGCAATTATTTTATGCCAGATTCTGAGGACACAGCAGTGAACAACACTGATAGGTCCCTACCTTTGTGGACCTTGTAATCTATTGGGCAAGGCAAGCAGATAAAGTCAGAGAGTGGTAAATGCTCTGAAAAAAGAAGCAGACTAAAGGGATAGTAGCAGTGACTATTTTTAGAAGAGCTGATCCAGGAAGACAGCTCTGAGGAAGTGATATTTGAGCAGGGACTTAAGTGAGGGTAATGGGCCATGACCATCTAAGGAATGATCTCTTGGACAGAGGGAATAGCAAGTCCAAAGGCCCTGAGGCAGGAACATGGTTCAGGTACAAAATGATAAGGCAATACGATGGAGTGTTGAGTGTGCGTCATGGTATAGAATCATAAGGTATGTCTTCTGGAAGTTTCCTAAAAATTATTCAGCCCAAAGGAAAACATGTATTTCATATACACAAAAACTACTCATCTTTCACAACAAAACTGCAAAAGTTCTGCCTCAGAGTAATCTACTGTGGCATCCAAAGGGACTATACTAATTTCAATAATCAATTTTACTCAATTTTTTCATACTATTATTTAAAACAAAAGAACAGGCATTTATTATATTTTTCAAAACCATCTGCATTAGATCTCTGAGCCAAAAATCATAGCGATCATAGATTCAGTCACTCTCCTCCACAATCTACTGTTCCATTCATTCTCTACATTCTTGCTCTGGTGGGGAAAATGTGGAATCGATAGTCCTGCATGCGTTACTGAAACACCAAAGTTCAGCAGAGTAAAATGTGAGTAGAGAGATGAGAAGAAACTTATCCAAGAATCACACCAATTTAAAATTGTTTTTATTTATTTATTAACTGGAGTAAAGCAGAAGGGGAATTATGTATGTAAACTACCACATGATATTAATATCATTAATAATTGCTCCTATAACTAAATCTTTGACAGTATGCGATTAAATTATTGTACTCTGGAGTTAATAAGAACCATGAAAAAGTTATATGGTAATTTTTTTTCAATGTTTAGGTTATAAAACGTGTACTAGATTTTGAGGGTTTTTTTAGATTGCAATGTGGTCATTTGTTTTAATAAATAACTGAGTTTGAATACTGACAGTCAGTCGTTAAGTATTCCATTTCCTACATTCCATTTTGTAGAACTTTGACAATTTTTTTTAAAGGTCTCACTCTACCATACTCTTAAGTGAAATAAATCGGACACACATATTTAAATACCGCGTTGTTTCTCTGGTATGAGAAACGGAAAGTGGAAATAAGAACTAAAAGGTATAATAGATATTGGGAAATAGGAAGAAAATGATCCAATGGGAAGGGGAACAAGGGAGGAGGGAGGGAGAAAGGAAGGGAGGGACAAGAAAAAAAGTGAAAATAGAAGGAAAAATGGAAACAAAGGTTTTGTACATAGGAAGAGGAGGTGACTTGAGGGGGGAGGGATAAAATAAAATTTATTTTAAAAAATAGAAAAAAAATAAAGAAAGGAACAACATTGTCTTCCAAGTCTAAAAAAAAATTTAAAAATAAAAAATAATGGGTGGAGGGGTGAAGGGTGCACAGGTAATGGGTAAAAATAAGAACCAAGATACATCATGTACAGGTACAAGCACCCAATGATAAATGTAAATGTATTGTGTACATAAAATGTACCAATAAAAGAATTTAAGCAAAACAATAAATAAATAAAAAGGTTTCACTCTGTAATTCAGGATAGTCTTGAACTCACTATGTATCCCAGACAGGCCTCAAACTTATGGTAATCCTCTTACCTCCTCCTCTGGACTGTGGAAATTAGAGGCTTATGCCACCACACCCCGCTTTTGGCAATCTTGTATCAGGTATTAACAATATTGAATTTATGCCACATTTTAAAAACTTGCCATTTTGCCCAAAATATATGTCATTGTACTGTTATTTTCCTCCTTTATAAATACAAAGAGGATTCCAAGTATGAACATCTTTTTCAATGAGACTTCAAAATAATAAGTAATGTGGAATCTTTTAAGACAATTGAAATTTCTTCTATTCCCACTGTTCTAGAAACAGTTGCTCAGGTTGCACAGTACTCTGAGGTCTTTGGG